TAAACATACTCTGACTTTCTTAAACGATCCGTCAGAGTTATGTTGGTCTACGGCTAGCAGTGCCAAGTTAACTGGCGTCTGTTGATAGTTAATTTCTATCACTCCATCTGCTAGCCATTTCTCAACTTGTTCTTTTACCACAGCCTCGTGTCTCCAGGATACATAGTTCCTTGAGGGGCACTTTAACTGTGTAAAGTCCACCTTGGTTAAGTCAAGGCTGACATACCCGTCGTTATAACGGAATTTTGCCCAATCTGTGATCTTTATCTTCTTATTAACAATAATCAGATCTATGATTTTTTTTCGCAAAGTCAGGTATTAATACCTTGACTGCGTCTGACGGGGGCTTATATGGATTCAGACAGTTATCGTTTGACTGATCCTTCAATGGATTTATGTTATTTGGTAGACCAGTTACGGTTATATCTAGAGTGAGTAAATCGCTTGTTTCGACTATAATGTCGTACTCTTGTGACATCTTAACTATCATAGCTTGGGTAGTGATATTTCTATCATCCGCCAGGGAGATTTTAACATCTGTGGCCATGGTATCACACTTAGAAGATTTGTCATCTGCTACGATTAGGTGAGTAGTTTGAGTTCGCCTTTCAAAGTCTTTCATTAATGCAAAGCGGTCGGATATACATGAAATTTCTGAACCAGGATCAATCAATGCAAGGATTTTATTTCCATTGTAATATACAGGGATTATTACACGCTCGTCTAAAGAGTCGTTGTATTTCTTTTGTAACGATTGTACCTGGTAGAACTTTCACTCCAAGTTAATGTCGGGCTTTTTGTCACAAGACTTAGTGTGATAGCTATTGGTCTTCTCACACTTGTCGCACTTAATAAGAAAGTGTGTACAGGTGGATGCATGCCTGCCATTCCAATAACCGTTAGGGGTCAATTGGTACATGTCATACTCACAATGTGCGTGGGCACATTTCTTAATCTCTTTAAATGGAGGTTCCTTGTCCTTCGCCTCCGCGGTGCCCGTTTAGTGGATCGCGTGGATAGAGTGGAGTCACGAGCACGTGTATGTTGGGGTCTCTTGTTTGAGGTCTACCTGGATACGTACCCGTGATTGGTGTGCTCCCGCGGCTTCTTAACAGTCGCTTTTCCCTTCGATGTTACTCGGTGTGGGGAAAAAAGGTGGATAAAACTGTTCCCACGTAAGTCGGAATAGATAAAACTTTGTTTCATGTCCCTTGTCTCGAGCCTCAGTAGCGTGTTTACGTCGCAACTCGGTGTACAGGCTCTCACGGTCGATATTCCCTATGTTCTTACAGAACACGGGCATAACCAGGAACTCGTACCATCGCTATGCCTTGTCCTATGTTATATCTGGACGTTACAGGTCAGCATGTAACTTCAGAATATAACTCTGAATGGGTGTGTTCTCAACTGGTTCAGTTAAAATTGAACTCAGTCCTGGGCTACGCATGTCCTATACGCAATAAGGACGTAACCAACCAACACACAGCTGACCAGTCACGACAAGTGTCTAGCTCATGCTGGTGTCGCTGCAAGATCAAGTAACTTGCACCTGTAGGGTCAAACGTCGGCATTAAAGCGAAGATCCATTGCTGGGGAGCGATATCATTTGTCTCCAGCTTGACCGTTAACGCATTAAGCGTACGGGTTAGCGTGTCGAGGTCATGGTTGTTTATAAACTCGACCTGCTTGCTGTTGGCATCCCAGTTTGACTTAAGTCGACTGATCTGTCCCTTGTACTTCTAATTATCCCTATGGTCTTGTCCACGTTGGGTCTGAAGTAGCTGATCGATGCGCTTTTGAATAATCGCAATCATATTAGCAAAGTATGAGATATCATCAGCATGATGTGCATCGTGGGTGATTTCCATTTTAATGGTGTAATCGTCGACCGATTTGTTAAGTTCGGTCACCTCGTCAAAGTGGAAATCCTCTGCGGGCTGGTGCAATGCTGTGCGATCGAAGCGATTAAATTCGACTTCGTTAACACGTTCACGGGTGTGTTTATGACCCCTTGTAAAATCCATGATCGAGGCCTTTCGGTGCTCTGTCCCTCGGATAGTGGTTGGTATTATAATCTTGGGTGATTCATGCGTCTGGATAGCATACCCAGTCTTAACTGGTTTCCGACGATTGTCATCCCAATTGGGTAAAGGTGGCGGAGTATTTTTACCTGCCTCTGGGTCTATAATACCCTCAAGGTCGGGTGACTCACGGCCGGGTGTCAGAACAGGCGAGTAATTAGCCTGAAGTTCTGGCGGTAGTACCTCGTAAGGTATAGATACGCTGAGCACATCTGGCTCATATGCCACAGGTGTAGCGCTCGAGTCTTTACGCTCTTCGGGCGTAATTGCCTGTCGACGTTCTGTTCACTTCTGTAGGGCTTCAGTAATGCCCGGAGAAACATGCTCGCGTAAGTGCTGTGTATGTTTTCCTGATCTATACATTCGATCTACATTTTCAACAGTCAAGTCTTTGATACGGATGGCTAACTGATTCTTAAGATCAGTGTTTTCAGTATTTAACTCATTTATGCGTGCTTGCCTTCTCTTCTGGTTCCGTTATAGGTCTCTTCTGAGATTTGTCCTTGTCCCCTATAATTGGGGACTGCCTTATAATTGGGAACTTTTCTTTCTGAGTTTCGTCAGAAGAATGGGTTGGGGCATCTTGAGACGTGTTCCTTGTCCCACTTCTTGGCTTCGTAAATGCAAGCTTTTAAGTTGAGGCAATAGTTGGCCCTCGGGCTCTGTCAGTGGGAGTAGTCTACTTAATCGGAGTGGCTACATCCTTATCTGAAGCATTGTTCTGTTGACTATTATAAACGCATCGGCAGCGGCGGCGGTTGCTTCTGCGGCAGCGCTAGCGGCTTCTCTCTTTATCTTCTTCTTTTCAGCTCTACGCTTCTTAGGAGTATTGTCTTTCTTGGTTCTAATCTTAACTTATGACTACTAGCTTGGACAAGAAATTTTTTGTGGTAGTTAATCTACCTTTACGCTTAAGTAGTCTAAGTAATTAATACCTTTGTTAACTTAAAAATGTGTAAGATTCGGTCTATCAAGGCGATATTAACGCCTTAGAATAAATAAACGCGTATGTAAATTCTAAGTATCGTGAAAATATTAAGGTAAATAAACGAAATGAGTCTTGTAGTAAAGTTAGGTATGCCTCGTGAAAACAGCATTATTCTGAGGGATTGTGAGGCTGAGACATTGCCTATATATAATCCTCTCAGTACTGTATCCGCGGAAATGATTTTATTTAGTGTTTCGCTGTCGCTCTATTAGATACTATGGTATGTTTCGTTCAGGCGAATCCGAGAGACTCATAAAATCCTATCTTTAGAAGAAAAATAATAGAAAAAAAATACTCCTGTTGTCCTTAGTTATTGCATTAACCAATAACTTGCCATTTATCAAGAATTACCGACATAGCCTTCATCAGACTGGCACATTTGGTTGGTTGATCGGAGGATCAACTAGGTAACGTTAATAGTCCCTAGAAACCTATATTCGGATGAGCCATCTCGCTACCGAAGTATTCAGATATAAATAGATTTGGAAAGTAAATATAGTTCTATTTATAGAACTAGACCAACTCTTATGTTGGTATTTACTGGGGCCCTTTTAATGGCCTTGTCCAAATATCTGATATGTAAAATGGAAAAGGTATTAATCAATAAAACCATTAAAACCCATTTAGGAAACTTAAGTTCCTCGTACTATTAAGAGTACGGTTATAGTTTACGTACTGCTTAAGAGTACGTTTATAGTATAAAGTCTAATGTGGAGGCCCGGCTATTACACAGTTGACTATTGTAGCTTCTTTATCAGTCAGTTGTAATGTGTTGTAATATGATCATTGAACTTCCTCTTTACCAGCTCAGGTTCTTATTCGTATCAGCTAGGAAAATATTCAGCGGGTTTTCTGTTTTCACAAAAGATTGTGGTACAACTCAAATCTGAAACCACTAAACGAACGAGGGGTTATTGTTGGTAACTGAAGTTTGTGTACGAAAGTTCATTGAAATCGATGTGCGTATGTTGTTCCTCTGATACCAAGTACCCGACAACGTCGGCAAAAGAGTGTAGAATCGCCGGTTATGCGCGATGCAATGTCGCAGTTGGGTCCTAGACGATTCTGTTGAGGTCGTCAGATGGTGTTACAAAGCTTGTTGCACTTGGATTATTAGTTACCGGAGTAACATGTTTTTATGGTTGCCAGTATTGCAGAAAATCCTTGTAGTTTTTTTTTGCATATCGTTTGAGATTGCTATGCGAGGGAGCCATCGTATCACCTATTCGCTGACCTGCGAGTGCTTGTGAATCACAAACAAACTGCAACGTACTTTGTACATATTTGCGTGCTGTGTTCATTATTTGCTTGTTTACTGATTTTCACTTTAGATTCTGTACAACCGTTTGTGAACTTTTCCAGAAATACATTAGTTCTCTACCAATCGAAAGTTGTAGATTCTTGAAACACGCGCAAAAGTTGTACAAAGTTGCAATATTCGATGGTATTTTCCAACTGTAGGTGCAACAAATTTGGTCAGGCCACTAATAAAATACTATGGAATATGTGAGAAATACCGCCAGAAATCCATAGTATCTGACCGAAGGCTCATTTTTCAGCCAATGAGATAGTAGGCTGCAGTCTAGAATCTCAGACAACGGTCCAGAGCAACAGGTACCAGTGTTAGAGTACAACATGGGTTATACAACCGACACAATATAGAGGTGTAAGTAGAGTTATAGACTCCCGATATCTAAATGATTATTGGCTCTTTGATAAACATTACTTCGCATATTTATAAATGAATCTATTCGTTGAAATTTAAAAAAAACCCCAAATTTTAGCATAGACCTAAATTGTACCGTTTTAGCCTTTTAGGGCTTTTTCTTGAAGGCTATGCTTTTGGCTGATTATTTAGCGCAAATCATAATATCACCTTAGGCGTGCTTTAAAATCTGCTTGACGTGTGTGTAAATAAATGATAATGTCAACACACTCCGTCTACGAGTTTAAGCAGTGAGTTCGTTGCATTCGCACGCTATCACACAAGCATCGCACTATGTACCCACATCATATGTTATTAGTTATTCCAGCCGTCAGCACAACTATAGCTTCGTCAATCAACCTCAAATCGCCACATGCCGTAACTGCGCCTGAACATAACCACCATGTGCTTGATGCATTCCAGGCACAAGAAGAGCACAGTGCAGGCGATAAGCCATTTCTGAAACCCACATGGCCGACCGAATTCTACGCAGCATTCACTGAGGACACTTGGTATCAGAATCAACAGCAGAGTGAGAGAGGGTGGATGCTATACTCGTACGCTCATGGCACACAGGCCATATACCGACCAGTTAGTAAGTTCAATCCCATTTGTGACCGTGTGAAGCCTGGCGACGAGACTCCCTGCATTCACCATAGCACGGATGGGGCGTCAAGGTTCCTAATCTGGCCCAACACACGAGAGTGCTGCTTGTACTGCCAAGAAGGCTGTGGTACGCTAAACCCACAGTGGGTCACGGCTGCTCCCTTCCATTACGCAGGGATTAGGAACTACAACGGTGTTGCGTGTGATGAGTGGGTGATTGAGTCCAGTACACCTGATCGTGTAGCTTTTAGTCAGAAGACGGGTGCATTGTGTGAGCTGTATGATGGCGGGGCTAGTTTTACTGGAGACAACCCGTTCCAGATTACCATCGATCCCAACACATACACGAAAGAGATTGAGCCGAATATGCTACAACTGCCGTCGTATTGCTTCCCTGTGAAGAAGTGTGCTAGAAGATAAATAACTAAAGATAGTATACATATGGTACAGTATGACAGTTCTGATACCGGGAGTGTTCGTAGGATGCAGATTGGAACACAGTAGCATACACAGCCGTTATGCTTCCCATTTGCAGATATCATACAGCATGCACGCACAACTATTGCCTAGGTACCTAGTAAGCGATCACAATATCGCGTACGTAGCTATATTCTGTATAGCCTCTTGTAAGTTTTGACCTCATGGACACGCACATTATTATCATTATCATTAACCCTTGTTTCATGTAGAGGTGTGCTAGCGTATGGCCTGCCAGCGACTTTCGTGTGGGGGATACACGTTTCTTTCCCTCCCGACGTGTACTAGTACAATGGCGCCTATACTAAATCGTGCGTAGCTGTACACCTGGTTTATTGCATAGGCACGTGCTAGTGAACAGAAGCAAGTAACCTCAGTGTACCGTCAACGTCGCCACTTCAACACACGTACGAAGTGGCTTCCATGCTGAGCAGGCAGGCCACGCCACTACAGGCTTAACACGCGCTGGTGCTTTGAAACCCATACCCAAACATGTGCTAGTTCGTATAGCGTGCATGTCACAGCGATCGCTTGTACTTTAAAGCCCATACACAAGTGTGTGCTAAGTCTTATAGAGTGCATGTCACCCAGAAACACACACACTAAGCGAAGTCGTCCACATGTCTGCCACTGAAACCAGTACTGTAGCTCAGGCCATGGCGCGAGTATATCTGCGTGTTACGTGTCACGTGTGACGTTGTTATTCTCCGGTGGTTCTGTAGGTAAGCTACTGACACTCGTGAGCGTAGGCGTTTAGCATGTGATGGCTCGTGTGTATGACTGACTGGGTGGGTTGGTAGAGACAGGGAGAGATGCTCCTATGCACAGGATAGACAAGTTACTAATGTCGCGCCCCTCTGCATTGATGCAGTGATATGGTATCGAGGAAACCCAAGGTTGAGCGATCCAGCACCGAAGAGAAGCCATTCTACACAAACGACAACTCAGTCTTCACTGTGGACTTCAGCACATGTTGCCCACTGTCAACGGACTCACGGAACATACCTGCGACTAGTACCAAAGTGGTCTATGACCACGACAGCGCATAGCAACGAACCTAGCGACGGGGACGCGCGTTCAATACGCGATGGTATGAACAGGATGACAGGCACACGATAGGTGAATGTACAACACACACACACACGCGCTAGATTGATTCGCAACATATATAGTTTAATGAAAGGTGTGGGAACTGTAACTGTGCCGCTTAGCTTGCATCAATGCACAACATGGCGGGCCTTTATATGGGTCACCTGCCATCAATGGAACAACACGGGGGGTCTTTATATGGGCCACCTGTGACGCTAAATGCTGTATCAATGCCATCAATGGAACATAAGGGGTCTTTATATGGGACACCTGTGACGCTAAACGCTGTATCAATGCCATCAATGGAACATAAGGGGTCTTTATATGGGACACCTGTGACGCTAAACGCTGTATCAATGCCATCAATGGAACAACATGGGGGGTCTTTATATGGGCCACCTGTGACGCTAAAGGCTCTATCAATGCCATCAATGGAACAACATGAGGGGTCTTTATATGGGCCACCTGTGACGCTAAAGGCTCTATCAATGCCATCAATGGAACAACATGGGGGGCCTTGATATGGGCCTCTAAGACGCTAAAAGCTGTATCAATGCCATCAATGCACAACATGGAGGGTCTTTATATGGGCCACCTGTGACGCTAAACGCTGTATCAATGCCATCAATGGAACAACACGGGGGCTTTATATAGGCCACCTGTGACACTAAACGCTCTATCAATGCCATCAATGGAACAACATGGGGGGTCTTTATATGGGCCACCTGCAACGCTAATCACTGTCAGATTCGCTCAAGTCCAGTCCGTCGTCGAGATCAGCCATGTTCATATTCAGACCCGTAGACGAACGCCGCCGCCCGATCTCTGTTCGATGATAGAAATTGGATATTATGAGATCATACACGTACACACATATATATGCACACACACACACACAGACACTCACGCACACACACACACATATATAATATTTTTATATATATATAATATATATATATACATACATACAAACATACATACATACGCACACACACACATATATATAAATATACATACATACATACATACATACATATATACATACATACATACATACGCACATGTATATGTATATATATGGGTACCTTAAATACAGTATAAACCTGTGCACCGAGATAAGTATAACAAACATTATTGAAACCCGACTATTATCGACCTATATCCGTGTGGCATCGAGATAAAGTCCAATTTTATCTCGAGTTCTTACTATAGAATAACTGTATTGCCTTTTAGCGAAGCACATGATCCATTGGGCCATATGCTGAGTCAGACACGAAGTCTCTCCTGGGGAAGAGATATGACACGCTGTTAACACCTCTATGCAGCACAGGCACCTACCTTCTGCGTCTGTGGCGCCCGCGGAATTGCTTGCGACCGAGTCCTGGTGTGTGATTGCCGCAGTCTACAGTTTCAGGTGATACCAGGTGAAGGTAACAGAAGAAGTCAGCTTGTGTGCATACACGGAGATACCACAGGACACATCGCTACGCCAAGAGTGCTCCTGCATACAAACCTACTAATGGTGCATATTCCCCAAAAAACCAAAACCAAAAACCAAAACCAAAACCAAAGCAAAAACGTACCGAACTTTCGGGTGCATGGACTGGGCTATTTTTAGCACTCGCAGCACCGTCCCCGCTCCCGTCCTGCTGCTGGGCGTCTGCCATCTCGCGGAACGACGTGACAATTTGTACACTTTTGACACTGTTGACACTTGTCATACTGGCCTTCCGACTCAGATGCTCGCCTTCAGAGTCACTGCCCGAGGATGATCCCGAACTGCTACTCACATCCAACCCTTCACTGCTCCTCCTCCTGTCCTTAAAGCTGTGTGTGTGTGTGTGTGTGTGTGTGTATGTGAGTGTATGTGAGTGTATGTGAGTGTATGTGTGTGTGTGGGCGTTTGTGTGCGTGCACAAAGTGCATCTACCTATGAACTGCATATATAGCAGATCAATCTTCCGGAGACGTATAGTATTCAATAGGGATTGTAATGACGTGTATGCGGGAATTCGTTCGCTTAGGTAGTGACACTGTTTATGAAGCTGGGAAAGTTCTGGAAGAGTATACATGCTAAACAAGTGTATATGAGAACCGAATGCATCTCTCCAGACCGAAAATACTCAGACAAAGCGTTCACAGTAACCATGGTAAGCATACCCTGCCGGACTTGTAACGCTCGGCATGCGTGTGATAGTGTGGACAATGGGTGTGGCGTGACGCACAATGGCACAAAAGCAGTGATCATGACCAATGCATCCCTGAAATGGAATTGGGACAGGGCAGAGACAGGATTCTAAGCTGTCATACGTTGTACCAACTATATTTAAGTAGAGCGTTGCATCGGAAACCATGGCTCTGGCCGGTGAGCGATAACTAACCAACACAACATACAACATAGGATAGAGACAGGATAGGTGAGATGGCAGGCTTTACTCCCTACGATACCTGCCTACTACATCGGGATATCAATTCCACAACCAAAACGATCATCTGACTCAGTATAGTCTCCAAGCACGATACATCCGCAACCGAGATGAATAGGCATATACACATGGCTTTGGCTTACACTCAGCGCGAAGCAGAACAAACTGCCAATCTATTGAACCAGAGGAATCTGGTGACCGCCAAGGGGCACACGACGTATCACACCTGCCTACAACATATCACACGTACCTGGTATTTGCACCAATGCTGTCGTCAACATTCTGTGACACGGCATCGGGCTCTTCCTCGTCCGTGTAGCTGTCCTGATCCTGGGTAGAGAGGTACGGATCCACTCCTCCTTTATTGTCCATATCCATTGTATCCATTCTCGTTGGCTCCTGATATGATTCCTGGTGTGCGTCATCCATCTCGTCCATGTCTTCCAAGTCGTGCACCTGCACATCCTGGCCACCTGGATGCGTAACGCAAGCGATTGATGCAGCGTTACCCACATTAGTAGCGTGCTGCATATATTCATATATATATATATATACATATAGGCAACTGTTGTAAATTAAATTGTATATTGTAGCATGTTGATATGAAATCAAATTTGGGTGATTTTACTTATTCCTACTCACCAGGAACCTCGCAACCAGCATGCAAACGAAGGTCCATGCAATAGCGTGCGTGCACATGTTGCACACAACACACAAGGCCAATATTACTAAGCACTCGCGTGTTTATAGCGAAACGCTCACATCAGTGACACAAACACGAGCTTGTGCTGAATCGTCAATGCGCGTTCAGTATGAGATGGCAAAGTGCGTACGGTTGAAGCTTGCTGCGCCAGGCGCAGGTTTAGCATGCATACATTTACATAGATATATATATATACATATTCATATATATACATATACATACATATATATATATAGACATATACAGACATGTATATATATATATACATATATATACATACATACATACATACATATATATATATATATATATATATATATATATATATATATATATATATATATATATATACATATACATATATATATACATATACGTTTACATATAGTTCTAGTTTAATAGGCCACACTACTAGCAGTGTGCGAGTGCAAAGGTGTGTACGCGTGGAAAGCGGACAACCGTTGCTTGATGAGTTCCCGCCAGGAGAACAATAGGTCAGAGGTTTATATACACACAGAGAAAGTATCCCACACCACAGCTGTGATTCATATACTCGCGGATAGGACGAGAGCACACAAACAACCGTTGCCAGACAATTGGAGGATCCGCCATTAAAAGTGTTGCGCCATATGCCCCAGTTCAGGTGTATAAGAGTCACGATGGGGACCTTTACGATGATTGTAAATAAATGATATTGCTTTCTTGGGTCTGAATGGTACCTACACAGATTTTGCACGTACAAAAATGACACGCATGATTATGTGCGGAGTCACATTAACACGCAAACAAGGGGTGCTCCGTAACATACTTGGGCTGTCTCTGTATTTGGCTTCGTCGTCACTGAACAAGCCACTGCCAATGCTGGTGAGCCTCGCGCGCGGTCCTGATATTACAAGTCCAAAAAAAATAAAATAAGAGTGTGAGATATTATAAATCCTAACAAATAAAACGAGGTGCATACACATAAGAGCGTGAGACAAGCATGTACAGTGCTACGCAATGGCAGGGTGCGCCAGTGGGGACACTTGCCATCCCGTGCGCGTGATTGGATTGATCCAAGTGATGTACACGACCACACACAGCACGAGATGCACAGCAAACGGAGATCTATATATATATATATATTTATGTATGACGTATACAATGCATACGAGCAGAACACTTCCCCACACAAGCCTTTGCCTAGACACAACCCTCCACACACTTGTCGCGTATGTACTAGGACACGTGGATATTGTGTGCCGTGTACGCACACGGTACAGACACGCGGGTGGCAGACGTTGCCCACTGGAGAACAGCTGATATACATCCCACCCCAAATGGCCTACACCGTTGAACACGTGTTGTGTGCATGCAACGAGGCAGACCGCCCCTACTGACGGGTATAGCTATGCGTGCCAGTAAACGGTTGCACCCTACTACTTGGTACAGATAGATCGCGTGTGTGCCCTGTGGCATGATCAATCACATACATCCACACATACATAAACAATCGCCAATGGCATGATCAATCACATACATCCGCACATAAATAAGCAATCGTGTTCCATATCCCCTAAAGGGTGTGGCTGGGGCTGTCCTCCACGGAGTCAAGCCGCAATGCAATACAGCAGCGTATGGACTGATATGTGCATATCGATGTGCTTGTATGTATGCATGCATACACACGCAGATACATGTGCCATGTGCATATCTATGCGCTTGTATGTATGCATGCATGCGTGCACGCAGACACATGTGTAACCGCACGAGCGAGTGTGGGTGTGGTGTCGTACCGTCGTGGTAGCCTTCTGCCTTCATGGCTTGAAGATCGTGCAGGTTGGTTTTATTCGAGACATCCGGGAATGACATCTCCGTCGTGTCGCGTATTTGCTTTAACCGCACATGAGTGTGCACCTGCCAAACGACCATACATATGTAATTTAGGTTAGCTTGCTTAAACTACGTTGTGGGCGTATTTGGGATTAGAAAGCGTACAAGCAACGCTATAGGCGTGTTTTGGGTTAAATTGATTAAACAACATTGCAGGCGTTTACAAGTTACGTTCTAGGCGTATTTTTGATTAACAGTCGCGCGCGGGTAAGGCGTACTTTGTAGTAAAGAGAGTAGTTGTAGATGCATGCGTGCCAAAGTGTATGAAAATGGGCTGCCGTTTGTAGTCCGCCATTTGGGCAATGAAGATAGACTATTAGACAAGACCTATATCGTTCAACGTATGTCAATATACGGTGAAATGCACTTGCACACACCCGCACAACCAGCAACGACGCTATACACACACAAATACAGCGTCTGTACGCTAAGCATGATGTTCTACACACTCCTGTACTTGTGAGGTGATCTTCTATCGCGCGCATAGCAAGCATAGGCCACGCTGCAATGTTTCGCCGCACCAACCCACCCGAAGAAAATTTTGGGCTCACTTGGACTTATTTCAAATTTTTGGGCTCACTTGCACCTGGATGAAAGTGCAAATTTGTTTGCGGCATATATTGTAATTATGCCTGAGAGTAGATGCACTAGAACGAAGTCGTCCTCAAACCACTGACCATGCATCCTACATAGCTACTAAGCGACACACGCAATGTATGTCTATCAATGTGTGTGGATAACGTCCCAACTGCCAAAGCACACGAAGGGCAGTGCCAAAGACATTCGCCGAGGGAGTGTAGTCGAATAAAGTTCGTATGAAGTCGCAATGAGTACATGCTTGCACATGCGGACGTGCACATGTACCGAGCTTCAGTGATAACAGCTGCCCATCAACGAATGCAACTACGTACGTATATGGTACGCCAACTTCCAAACAAGAACGAGCCTAGCAGGAGGTGCGAACCAAAGCCTTATGCACAGCACACATATACCACACACACACACCATACACAGAGTATGCTTGGTACATAAAACTATCCCCAGCACTCGAGTGCAAACTACACTTTCATGTACACAAACAACCGGGACAACACCATCCCCCCCCCTCCACATACACACACACACACACAAAACACCATTTCTCTCTCTCTCTCACACACAAACACACCAGTTGCAGCGTGTATTCTTGGGTCTCGGGATCGTAGACGATGATCGCATCTTTGCCGCCGGTGTCACTCTTAGCTCCTTGGTAGTAGACGAAATCATCGGGCTACACATGCACATACACGGGTGAGTAGGTAGGATATAGGTGAGTGTTATTATACAGACGAGTGTGATGAATCTTCAGGCTACACATGCACATACATGGGTGAGGACACGGACAGTAACATATGAGGCAGCGAATGTATACAGCATTGCAAAAGCTATACATAGGCATGCTCAAGGGAATCATGACGACGCTCCCATTCGTATGTGGTCAAGTGTACATGCATGCGATAGTATGTGCTCGGCCGCGTACTATACTGAATCACTGCATACCGTACGGTATAGAGGGAGATGCACGTTTATGCAGTCTCTGTGAGAGTGTGTGCGTTGTACCATTGATAGTTAACGTATAGGGCACAATATGCGTCATTTGAAGAATGGAATATGTTTTAGGGGTTAAAGGTTGTGTGGACAGCCACGCGTCATGCACAATGGGAGAATCCACACTCATCACACATACACACACACCCATACACACACACACACACACACACACTTACACACACTCGCCCTTGAAGTCTCACCCATGTGCAAAGACCTACACACACTGACACTCATCACACCTCCCTCTCTATTCAAACCCTACTAGACGCACACGCACCCTCGAATGCACACGCCACCACCCCACCAATTGGATTAGACATACGTTGTCGTTATTTGTCTGGAACCCTACGTTCACCGATGCGCCGTCGATGTTTATCGAGCCGGCCTGTTCCAGGTCTATCTTCCCGGGCTTGAAGTCAACTGCCAAAATACACAATTGGGTGAACACAGGAAGGCTTATTAGGCACAAAATGATAAAAGTGGGAGCGTGTACCGTGCTACCTACAATACATACTCTCTCGCTTTGCTTGGTGGTATGTATGGACAACGAGATACGATGTTGCCTTAGCCATAAGCACGGGCCGAATTTATCACTCAGTGTAGCACTGGTGTTAGGGACTTGTATATATCTTACGGATTCGGATAGATGCGAACGATAATAGAAGAATTTAGAAACCGAATGGGCCCATTTTGACCTTATCTGCGACCACAGGGGTGAGGATGAGATGATACATATAGGGCTACGTGTAATGCAAGCTACACCAACTAGAAAACATAAGGACAGGCGAATGGTTGCTTCTGTTAGGAGTGCTCAGCATAACTGTGCCTGACATACTGTTAAAGGCTTCAGATGTGGTTAGCGCACCATGCAGATTGGATTCAAGGCTAACGCGAGGGGGAGTATACGAGGAGGCGTATCAAAATATATAGATACATGACACATAGATACACAAATATACACAAATACGCGCACGCACACAAACACACACACACACACACATATATATATACATACATACATAAACACACAAACATACATAAATACAAACATACATACCCATACATACATACGTAAATACATACATACATTACATATATACATACACACACACAGACACAGACACAGACACACACACAGACACACGCACACATATATATATATACTCTTTTGTGATGGACCTACATAATAGAACAGTAGGATCTACATCATATCACTTACATGCTATATTATAGAACGTGGGAGCATCTTGATAGAACGTTTCTCCCAACCGGAGAGGTAGGGGCACTCCTCGCTCTGGTTCACTTTCGTCGGCCATTATATGTATATTAGATATATAAATATATATGTCTATTTATATATTTAGATATAGACATATACATACGTACATATACACTGTATATAAATATATATATATATATATATATATATATATATATATGCACGTATCTATATCTATATCTATATATAATGTATATCTATATATATATAAGGGACGGTGGTGCAATGGGAGAGATTGTGAATGGAAACTACAGCAGTTAACTATCCTTAAAAGGGGTTGTGTATGTAGACTTAACGTAGCATATACTATCTAAATAGTCAAGGGGTTGTAGCTATTAAGATCTTCAGTGATCAGCCGAGGAACAAAGATACACGACAGCAAAGTAGAGGCTATGATAGCGTCTCAATGTACGTTTAAAAAATATTGCAATACATAAACCCACAGATAACCTCAATCCGTTAAAGAGGACCAATTTAAAAGTGTAGCGTAAACGATACATACTTTTATTAATAAAACGTTTCTATGGGTCAAATGACACAAAAACCCACACCCTATATGTACTATAATACATCGAGGGAAAATATTAGAAAACAATTTTTTTTGTAAAACAAATAAACCTCAAGCTTCAAGGCCCCGAACAAATATTTACCCGTATAAACGGGATAGGGATACCCACAGTACGCACTGTACATATTTTAGTTTTATTTGTGTCACTGTTAAGCAATGGGAGTAAAAACTAAAAAGTGATATTTATAGCCCATATCATGAAACGTCTACAATTTTAAAAATAAATAAATAAAACTGCTGTGTTTCTGATAAGTAGTTCAGTATATCAGTGTTTATTGTATATGGCCCGTTCCACGCTTGGTTACAGCTATACGGCATTGCAGCCACACCGGATCTGTTGCCCTGAATTGGACTTGTTTATAAACAGCCAATCTGGACGCATTGATCTAATACAAAATCCCGTCACATAGGTGTTGTCCACTGACAAACAACAACCAATGTGGATGCATTGATCTGATACAGAATTCTGTCACATAGGTACTATCAACGGGGCCTGAGTATTGACCTCCACTCAGCGAGTACTGTGCAACGTCAGAGAGTACAAGCGGCACTCATGATATCATTAAATGGTTTTCATGAACATGTGTGGTAGTATTGAACCGGGATACAGCCAGAAACATTAACCCACTGGGGTATAATTCTGAATATGCAGATAGTATCGAATTTAGTCCAGAAGTGTCAACACATATGGTAATACAGTTGTCGATACAAGTTGAGCTGCTGCGATTACAGTTGGACACGAGAACAGCATAATAGTAATACGCTCTTTAGTTGTAGAGGCTTATGTGCTAATAGTTATGGCGCCATGCTTCACTCCTTGATGCGATTGGAGATATGTCGCAAACAAAAGCGCAATCGTAAACGTTTGTCACTACGCGTTATATCAAATTATTTACTGTAACTGTTTACTGAGATAGGGCGCAGTAGCCTGAACTTCTATTTCCATATTTCAAAGCAGCAGTAGCCTGAACTTCTATTTCCATAGTTCAAAGCACATTTAGTGTTCATTGTGTACTTATTGTCAACTTACCGTACTACTAGTAAAACACGCGAACGGTATGGACCAGGTACGAATATATATCAATAGGTTCTCCAGCTGTCAACTTACCGTACTACTAGTAAAACACGCGAACGGTATGGACCAGGTACGAATATATATCAATAGGTTCTCCAGCACATCATGTGCACACGGTTTACCATATCGAGAAGCTCACGTACGACTGTGTGCTATGCGTGACTGAAATTTATCGGATTATGTCTCTTGTGCGAAGACTAATATAAACACACAGTGTTCTAGTGTTCTGATCGTAGTTTTTAGTCAGGAACTGCAGTTTATGATCAAGGTACGCAATATTCGAAATCAGGCGACCGTCAAATGGGCCATGGGCGTAGACCCAGGTGGCGGGAAGAAGGGGTGGATTTACGAATGCATTTCGAACCAAAACACTAAAACCCTAAACCCTAAAAATATGCACAATTTAAGTTGGACACTTTGCAAGCTTTTAAATTGAGAGCGATTCTACGGTATGAACGATATACATACGCACTCTCGTGTGGCACATCATGCATTGCTGTTTGAAACCGTCGGTAGATGACGTGCAAGCAAGTTGCAGACCCGCAATTAGTGTACAGATCAAACAAGACTGGAAGTGGAGATACACGACGACACTGACGAGTAGCGTGAGCTGTGCACGGTGTTAATGTGCAACAGGGCACAGGTTGTCAAGTGGTAGCGTGTAAGTACCATCGAGAGCCACGTTGCTAGCTTCGTACTGACATACACCAGGGAGTGGACGCGTGATTCAAGTTAGCGGCGTCGCTGGAATTAGGGTTTTAGGGGTTTTTAAACAACCCAGCGTTAGTAGTGTGCGTGCGATTCTAAGGTATTGTGAAGGTCAGGCGGGATAGTCCGTTGAGTATGCTTAGGGGATGAGCGGCAATTCATAACTATAAATTTCCATAGCAGTGTTGTCGAATACGTAGTAGGCCGATTGATGCACAGGCACAGCACTGGCCGACAGTTGGAGTGTGGAGTTAGATTCCTCGCAGTATCATGTAAACATTTCCAGCCTTTAAACTTTATTGAGCAGAAGTGTAAATGCTTGTATGCGGCGATAAACGGTTGACATTTCATATCCAGACGCATAGAATGATGCATAAAGATTTCTGTTCTTTGTATAAAAATGAGAGCGGGGACGATGTCCTCTTTTGTATACGGGTTCTACGTTGATTCGCTCTATTCATTGTGACTGCCGAGACTGTCAACAAGCATACCATTACAATCGAAATCTCGGTAGCAAAATCAGTAGTAGACTCATTTTCCGCCAGCATACAGTTCCGTTAAAGACAACATAGCTTCATCAAAATGTGATATGCAGAATATGCTATCCACACTCGATAGCGGGTTGCGTTTGAACTTCATTCGTATCGGGCACGGCGCACTTTCAATGGCGGTACGACACTCTGTCACATGCACTCAATAAATCTCTCTAACCGATTTTTAGACAAAATACTAGTATACAAATGTAGACTGAAAGGAGTTAAAAGTTAATAGATAACCAGGGGTGATGTCTAGAGGTGTCGGGGTTCCCCACTCTCCAAGAGAGAGTGAGGGTGTCCCCTTGGGGTGTTAACCCTCCTACACGCCCTCTCCCTCTCGAGAGCCCTCGAGGATCCCTTGGTGACACCCATGGAACGCAGAAAAATCACTTACAACGAAACAGACAATCCGGGTACAGATAACCGGAAGAGATGGGCAGCCATATTTATCGACCACATTTATTTCTTCTCCACTGTTTTACTATATTACGTCATTTCTGTTATCATCCTACCTTCGCTCCGATTGCATCGTATCTACCAATTGCAATCGACCTATATATTCCTCTACCAACGCCCTCCCGCCATGACTAGTCTACACCTGTAAGCTGCTACCACACGTCTCACTAACCCAGTTTTAAACACACATAAACTATCAACCAGGCGTTGCACCACTACGTACGGTTGCGTGCGTAGTGGTGCACCCACCCATGTACCTGGAGATTAATTCCTGACAGACACCCGCTGTTGCAAAAGCATGCATGCATGTACAACATGCGATACAGCCGCATTCGGGCGTCTTCCCAACCTCACTGACTTTCACGGTGCGTCCGAAGTTATCGATTGTCACTCACCCATCCCTGCAGGCGCAACATCAACCTCTCTAGACATAAAAGTGGACACATGCATGTACACATGTAAATACACATGCATATGTAAATACACATATAAATACACATGTATATATACATACGTATATATGTGTCCGCTCACTTCCTACTACGACTACCACTTGCCCACGCAAGCCCTCATTGTCGTCACACACGTATCTCCATTAAACACGTCCGCGCGCTTTTCCCATCTCTGCGATCACCCCCATTACCGGGTCTATTCCGCCTTCTTAGCTGCATCACTCTTAGTCGAGGCTGTCTCCGTTTTTGCCACAGATTTGACAGCTGTCTTCGGCTTCTCACACCGCACGAGGTCGTCTCTGGTGGGCATTTTTTTGGTGCCCATGATGTCATCCCAGAAAGTGAAGTACGGCTGCGAGAAGTTGAACCTGATTATTCATTGATACAATATTGAACAGTGATGAGCAAGTATGCATGGGTTTGAGTTGTATATGAATCGTCGATGTTCAAGTAATGAGAGGTCTGTGAAGCTATAAAACAGCATTCGAGGGGTGTATATAAGCTGTACATGAAGCGTTGAACTGCGTGAATCGGAAGGTTTGTGGACTTCCTCACAATTGTGAGCGATTGAGTTGGGCAAACGCAGCTACGAGAGAATGCAACATTCCAAAATCTGAATATGAAGTGACGAACAACAACACACGCGCGCACCGACGACACAGGCCATACCATAAGCACACATGTAGATTGATGTGGATAGTTCTGCTAGTCATAAAGAGTAAACACATGATACGATTGATAATATATGTGTGGTGCGTAGATACACTAGATATGCGCTTAGATGCCAACTACAAACAAAGTAAGATGTACATATCTTGTGAGAATACAAGTTGGATTGCTTTGTTTACTAAACATGAGTATACAACCAAATTGATGCAAGTATTAAAAATGAATTCAATTTACAACAACTGCATACCATTATACCATTCTAATTGTCTGATTCCTATGATCCAAATAATATTAATAACCATCCAAATTATAATGTACATAAAAGAAAACAATCCAAAAGCAGAAGCGATATTTCGCAGCTACATACATGACAACAACGGATACGCAACAAGAACACGCCAATGACATACCGGAAACCTCTCAATTGATGGTGCATATCGTGGTAGGAAGCATTGTTGGTGAAGAGCTTATTCATAGGGTTCCAGGGTAAGTCGTAGTTCGCGTGATCGCACACAGTCTTGAAGGTGGATACTGAGACAAACAGACTCGCGGCTCGAAGATCAAGCCCAGCAACGGCCACAGATAGAGCACCGCTCCCGGCATCCAACACAAACCCTGTGTATGAAAGTGACTAGTGGTTGAGATTGCGAGTAGAGACGGCGATACCCTACAGAGCTACCGAACTTGCCGGATATAAGTGCATATATACATATATGCCTATATACACACCCACGCACATATATACATACATACATAAATACATATTATGCATACAAACATACATACCTATACCTACACCTATATATAGATGTATCATGTTGAGTCATATATTCGTTCATAAAAAAGGCTTCGTCCTTACCCTAGAGCTCCTAAACAATGAGATCTCAAAATGCTTACCATCTGACCATTTTAAAAATTACCCGACATGAATACCTATCCTAGTGCGTTTGCGTTGTACACGATTTTGGGGGGCGGGCGGATAAGTAGCAATACGTTGACATGATAGGTCTAGATATAGAAGAATGTATACTTATGCGTTTACACAGACATAAATGTATACATGCATGCAATTTTACATCAATGCTCACATACAAGAGTACCATACCAGCACATACCTTCGAGCGGGTGGTTGTACAGGGCTCCAATGGGATAAGGACAATGCAGGCGATGATGCCATGAGTGAAAGTGCTCGAAGGCCCATTTGTTAATGTGCATCCACCGGTGAATCCAGTACTGATACGTGTCCATGACAAGGGCAGCTACTACAAACTTCGGTACCACCGCCAGCCACGAGTCGAAGTCTTCCGAGTAGTCCTCGAATTGCACAAACATGATGCCGGCAAATATCTACACAAGGAAATGGATGTGATAGAGTGAGTAATGTTCACTTAGCATGTATTTGTACGCTACTAACACGCCAGATATCCCTTGAATTGTCACTACTGTGTTAATCATTGAGGCAGTTAATAGCAAATCAGCACACGCCAACGATAAGCAATGCAGAGTTTATAATTTACTTGGACTATATGCCGATCATGTTCGAACAATATAGCAAAGTATGATACTATAGAAAGCATATGGCTAGATGCCTGATAGAACCTTGTGAGCTTAAAAAAACAATCGTCTTCATGCCCACGTGCAACTATCCGCCAACAAGAGGGACAAAAGTCAGGTCATCATTGCCATAGAATATGCATATGAAACAATTACCCAGCATCTATACTTCACACCTTCCTTTCGACACCGCAATGAACTACGAGAGGGACACGACCACATCTCTGACACTCAATTCTGGTTGCTCTTAATTGGTAAGCGAACGGTACTATAAATAGAGTAGTATCTGGACGTGAAGCATATCCATCCCGACAAACCATACTGCATCAAATAGAGCATTTAAACCAGGGTGTACACACGGTGTGATAATGCAGTAAGTACATAGAGCTAGAGTGACGGTACAAAAAATATAATATTGGTAGGGGTACTCGAAGGCTGGACGGATAGTGTGCTATTTGCTATGCGACCCAATGTAAACACGCTAAGCGAAGTTACAGTGGGTGTAAACTACAGTGGGTGATAGAAAACAAATGAGGCCGAGGACAATACTGCGGGGTACACAAACATCCATCAATGCTTGGAGGTGACATGGGAAGTCAAGAAAGCCGGCTGCTCTCTAAGCGACGACAGCAGAGATAGGAAAGTGAGCGCCATGTGAATCGCATAGACGATACGAATATGGTACGATTATAATGTGAACCATACAGATAACATCAATAAGGGTGTTCAATAAGAATACAAAAATAGTCTATACTAAATTCTCAATAGTTGACAATATAGACAACAATTCACCAAGTTATACAGATAGATGAGATTGATATGGAAGAAGTGATCATTGGGTTATTCAAAACATGATATACAGATAACATAAACATGGAAATGATCATGTATCTCATATACGTAGCATTAATAGGAAAGTGACAACTATGTGATACGCACATATACCATATGTGTCCGAGTGATCATACAACACGCATACGTATGTACCTGCATGGCATGCTGTAATATAACCCAAGGGAGCGCGTCCTTCCAACAGATCTTATTCCTCTTCTCCTCGAACTTCGGCTGCACACGGTACTTCTCGAATGATGGCATACAGTCCATGATACCAAATGCTATGCACGACGTATAGTATGTGACAACCGGCGACAAGATGAATATGCCTTGCCAGGGTTCCATCCTTAATCCAAAGACATCCATGGTGTATGTTTATGTGTATGTAGATGTGCTGATGTGTACGTAGAGGCGTATAAATGTAAGCGGGTAGTATACGAATTATGAAATTAAGCCGGGATAGTTATGCCGTCAACGAACCTTTAAACCTCACACGCTACAACTAACTAGAATACAGAGCTTCATCCGCAACGCAAGCTGCCGACTATGTGGTTACATACAATTTCTATCTGTCGTGAAGCAATGTATTGTTCTCTGTGTGAAGTGAAGTGATGTGACGTATTGTATTTGAATACAGCACGTGAATAGATATACATGTGTGATACCAGCCTTGTGAATGGATATACATGTGAAACCGGCCGTGAGACTTTAGATATGCTCAATTAACACGCTCATCTTTTATTAAACGTCAAGATAGCACTGAGCACCCACATGCAGTAAAGATTAAATAAACGTTGTATGTAAACGCACTAAAAATTGGTTGCATTTTGTACGGGGTTAAAACGTAAATATCTCAAGAACATAGCCTGCTCACTCTCTCGAGAATGACACCTCCAGACCCCAGTTGAAATCCACACGAAAATATTGTTTTACAAAAAACAAAACAAAAACAAACGATCGATTCGAAAACGTTTTAACGAGAAACGAACTGAGTAAGTTTCTGTATTATTTCTATAAAAGAAAATTACATACATACAGTATATGTTCTTTTTATTTCCGCGAAAGACTTTCTGTAGTTTCTGGGTGTTCGACAGCTAAAGCCGAACCAAGAGCCGATGAGCGGCAAAATGTTCATGAATCATGATGACTCATCAGATACTACAACGGAGTCCAATGAGCTATCAGTCTATTTATAGTTTTACATATGTACTCTTTTTCTATTTATCTATGTATCATCAGTCTCAATAGTCGACACCGTCACCGCCTCAAGTCACACTCTATGAGTCTCTAGAATAGTGTTGTCACACCTACCGGTCGCGGTCACAGCGTGTGACTGTATGTCAGTTCGTGCAACTGTACTTCATGCCTATAAAGAAACGCTCAGTAGTAAATAGAGCGTATGCGTACATGGTGTAAATATCACATACTTTAGGTATGTGATAAAGGTACCTATATATAGCAATCCAGGCCTCAGTTGACGGTCCGAGACTCTTAATACTCTTCTGAGGTAGCCAGGGATACGTCGTATAAAACTCTATTTTTCAACTAAATATTAATTTCCATGTTAATTTACCATAACACTAAATTGAACACAAAAGGAATGGGCTATGAATTTACAAAGGCCAAAAAAACATTGAAAAAGACAAGTTTGCAGTCAGCATCAAACTCAAACGGGTCTCGCTCATGTTCACTTTATGCAAGTCAACACGCCAACCCTATTTATTTAGTGATACGATCTCGCTGCTGCTGGTATATCTACTCGGCAGACCATGCGAGGACTTCAAACTAAAATGAAAATCTTGCCACTTTGTAGGTATAGGAAGATTTTTATTCGAATTTTTATATAAAACAGCCGTGAGAATCAGAGATACGATACACACACACTCACATACACACACAT